CCCCCCCCCAATCCTGTCCCCTAGCCTGGTGGAGATGGAGTAGGAGAGCTGTGCTGGGTCCTAGCCTGGTGGAGATGGGGTGGGGGGGCTGGGTCTCAGCCTGGTGGGAATGCGGTCACTTTTTTGCTCCACGCAGCCCAGCGTTTGCGGCTCGAGTGCGTTGCTGCTTTCCCAAGGCTGCTGTTAGCTCCCTGTGGCAGCGCACCGTAATGCAGCATGTTGTTTTATTTATCCCAGACAGGAATGACTTGCTCTCTCAGCTACAAATGAACGAATGCTGCTCGCATAACAAATGGCACTAGTTGGGATCTCCCATACTAATTGCAGGTCACCTTTACAGGGCAGGAGGCCAGCAGACCTGTGTTTGTCCAGGGGGGTGGGTTTCAAAGCAGCTCTGTCCCCCTTGGTGGGGTAGGGGGAGGCAATGGCTATCAGACCAACAGGGAGGCATCTTCCCCTGGGAGAGTTTCGTCTCTGTGTACACCTTGGGTTGGTTCAGGACCTCTAAATGCAGTTCTGAAATGGATCCATATGAAAGCTGCTAAGCCACTTGCGAGGTCCTTCATTAAATAGCTTTTTTTTCTTTTTTAAATGCACTTTGCACTGCTGGCCGTGCCCCCCCGGGAAGGATCCGAGCATGTTTTGCCAGCATGCTGTGCAGGCTGAATTATTTCATTCATTTCCCCGGCTCTTAGCACACCCAGAGCATTCCCATTCCCTTCCACGTGGTGATGCAGAGCTCCAAAGCAGCGTGTTATAAAAACCAAAATACATTTGAACCCCCCCCCCCCCCCCCAAACAGATGCTGGTTCAGGGTAGGGGTTTGTAGGGGAAGAGAGAGACCAGGTGGTGAATCCTAGACAGGGATGAAAGTGGTGCTGGAAATCCAGGTGATCCGTGTGTGCAATATTTACCTGGCATATTCGGCAGCTCTCCTTTCTGCTGCTTTAATCTGTAGGGGACACTACTTTTTCTGGGCTCAATTTTTTTCTTGTCCGTGTTCACATGGCAAGTCACTAAAACTGCCTAAATGCCTTCTGAATAACCCTTTCACATTCCCTCCCTGCTCCTTTACCCTAACTCCTTATTTTGCATGGCTGATCTGATCTCCCCTCTTTCTTGCTGTCCATTATCATTGCCAGGTCTGCAGGCTGCTAATTTTCCTAAAGCTAATTCCTTTACACAGTGATTTGCATAGGAGCAGGTACTAGATTATTGATTCATGGCTAGTCTGTGGGCAGATTGAGATGACCCAAACACCACTGGCTTCAGCTGGGACTTCTCAATCAGATCTTGTCAAGCAGACGGTAGATCAAGGTAGCACCTTATAGGCTAACTAGTTCAGCCAGGCATAAGCTTTCCAGACCTAACCATTCCTGACAGCCCTCCTTTTCTCCCCCCTCCCTTCCCCACTCGGATATTAGCTTTTGCAGGTAAAGCTGTAATGTTATGGATATGTGTAAATCTATTGTGCGGATGCCCTGAAACAGTATTCTTCCCCATGTATGCGCGTGTCACATATTACAGGTGAGGTTGTGTTGAAAGGTAATGCTCCAGTAAGGTACAGTGAAATACTATACCTATATAGTGCTTTGCTTTCCTGCAGTGCAGGTCTCATAACATGTTCAGACTTAAGTGGAGTGACTTCCAATTCAATTCTGATCAGCAAACTTCAGAGAATGCTCCTCTGGTCTCTCTTATTTTTCTGGAGTTTAAGCTCTTCTGGGATCATGAGACAGACGCATTTAAAAATATGTTCACATTATTTAGGAGAGAAAATAACTGTTTCAGGTTCTTTATGAGACTTTTTTTTGTGGTAGCTGAGAGTGGCTGCGTGGTTTTTGTTTGTGCTCTCTCTTCCTACATATATTGTGGTGATAGCCATGGAGCACTAGTGATTATTACTAGTGGCCTTCAGTTCTCTTTGCCATGACTGAAGTGAAGGCTATGGGCTTTGCACCTCTAGTAATAACTCATCCTGGCACCCCTTCCTGGGGATAGTCATTGAGATTTCCACCATCCCTCACTGTGGTTGGTTTATTTATATTTTCAGCACTAATCCCTCCATTGTTGGTTTCCTGAATGCTGATGTTTAACTGTCAGCTGAGAATCACTTGTTCTGGCTACAGAAATAATAGCACTGCAAGACAGCAGGCAAGCGGTGCTGCTGAGCTGAACACCTTGGAGAGCGAGACTATGACCTCTATGACACACATGCTTTTCAGTCTTCTGGGAAGCAAGAACTTGGGTCACTTTTAGATGCAAATACTTGCTGCTGATTTTCTTAAGTCTGTTTTTCCCCCCCTTTAATGTTAAGACACTGTTGGATTGACATGCCTATAATGGTGTGTGCATGGGTTATGAAACCAACCTGTTTCCTTACCTGTGTTACTAGTAACGTGGTTATTAACAAGTGTCGCTTCCACTACAGACAGTATGCTGCCTGAATGTCTTTCACTATAGTCGCTTCCAAATAGACTCATCATTTTCACCTGTCTCTTGTAGAACCAGAACAGGAAACCAACTATACAGCTATCTTGATGTAAAATCCTAGAGGAGACAAGGCAGAGAGAGTTCTTACCTTGATGTAGCTAGTCAAGGTCAAACCTATACCCCAGCCCCAGTGGAATTCGTCTCCACCAGCTATATCACAGTAAAATCTACCTGTGTCTTGACACCACTATAATTATGCACTGAGATAGTTATCACAATGTAAAACACAGCTTTCATTACATAGAAGGGATAGCCCTACAGTACTAAAAAGCTGCAGTGTTTAGTTTGCGAGTGCTGCAAGGAGAATATTCTTTTTTTAAATGTGATTTAAAACGGGTTTATTTGTTTTTAAAGAAAATGCAAGGTCCTTTATCGAGTGTTAGATTTTGTATGTCTGCTTTTCTTACAAACCCGTATTGATGACCTAAGTTGACAGGACGTCCCGTTTAAAGTGTTGCCACTGACACCCCCCCCCACCCCCCC